ACTTATTAGAAAGCTGTTGGTTTGGTTTTTTTGTTTGTTTATTTCCAGGTCCTTGAGCACATGTGTCAGCTGAAGTGCATTAGTAGATTCCAGTGGAAAAAGGATTCCCAATTGTAATGAGAAGTTTTGTGATCCATCATCTTTTGTTGCTCAGTGTTATGTCAAGTTGAAAGTCCCTCCACAGCTGAGTGCCAGAATCTATGGCAGCAGAACAGAGGTGGAAGAATCATCTTACAGGTTTTTTTTTTTTTTCACTCTTCTGTCCTAAACTTCTCATATTGGCTGTAGTTGAAAAAGGATACAATTTTACATTAATTATTATTTTGTCTTAGTGCAGTTTTCTGCAGTTTTTTCTTCATGTGTGGATCAAAATTGTATTTATGTTAGCAGGGTTTTTCAATCTGCTCAGACACACTTCATTCTGCCCCCAAAGACACGGTCATATTTCTGCCTTTTCTGGGAAGCTATGGAATTTTGACTCAGATTCTTTATAGAGGGCTCCAGCAATTGTTTAGATCTTGTTTTAATTATTTTCTGGCCATTGTTGAGCTGTGTGAGTACCTCCATTGTTTGTTCCAGTTTGATTGCCTATATCAGCTTATCTTTTCTCTTCTGGGAAACTTGATTCCTCTGGTGGTATTTGCCTGCCTCATAGCCAATATTTCTGGTGTGCTAGATTGTTTTCACTGGAAGGAGAGATTGGTGACCTGCATTTCTTCAATGCAATCATGTTTCCTTGTGGAGAATGTTTGCAGAGACCTGCAGCAATGATGTAAGAGTCATTGTCTTTGTTCACAAAGCCACGTTCCTTCTTGAGTAATTCCTAATTCCACCCCTTTTTGGTGGTTTTATTTTTTGTCTTCTTTGTGGTGTTTTCTGCCTGCCATTGGTTGTTTCTGCCATTTTTGTAGACATATCCAGGTCTGCCATGCCATTACCAAAATTTTAAAGTCTTAATTCAGTTCCCAGCCAAACCACTAAAGACAGATCTATAAGGCATGTAGATTAGTTACACAAACAGTAACTTCTGTTGTTAAACAAAAGAGCTTTTTTAAATAAATAAAATGTTGCTACAAACCCATCATCTTCAGAGAGGTCTGGAAATATTCATATACCAAAGATAGTAGTACCCTTTGAGACTGGATCATTCAGCTAAATAATGAGATATTTTCACTCCATCACAAGCCTTTCCACAGACCTACTGGGTGGCTGATAGTGCCCAAGGCTTAATATGCCTGATTTTTCCCACTTGGAGAAAGTGAAAAGGCAGTAATTAATTATGCAACAGTCATAAAACTACAGATATTAGTGTCTATGAAGTGTATTTGGGTCTTTCACTGTAATTAATCTAAACTGCAAAATTAAATTAATTAATCAGAATGGTGACAGGCCCACCTTTTAGGTTATAGGAAAATATAGGCCTTTTTTTTTTTTTTTTTTTCCATTTTATTTGAACTGGAGGAGACACTTCAGTGGTGGCCTCTTCTTTCTGAACCTTCAAATCTTTCCTCATTGAGCTTGTGGGAAATATGTTCATCCATTCATCTGGAAGAGAAATATTTGAAGAAATCAGATTTTGGGAACTGGTCCTTTCATATCTTCCCCTCTTCCATAATGAGCAGGTCTGCTCTGTTCGGGATATGCAGGATAATTATGCAGCTATCAAAGAGAAATTAGTTAAAACAATTTAGTCAGGCAACAGGAGAACAGTGTCATTAAATGCACAACTGGGTAAGTTTAGAAGTTTGAAGTGACACCTTTCCATTAGTGAAAATTTGAGTGTCTGTGAGGTAAGAAAACCAGGGGTGCTCCCTCAATAGTGTTTTCTCATATTCCAGCAGGAATAAAAATAATTAATATATGGTTTATTTTCTAATGGCAGTAGGAACTCTATAAAGCTCTGCACCTCTGTGCTGACCTGAGGGCTTGGACAGCTGTCTGCTGATCCTTGGCAGATCCTTGATTTTGCAGAAAATCTGTGGTGTGCCTTCCCACCAGGTGGATGGGGTCTGCTGACAGTGCTCACTGGGGTCAGCATGACCTGGGATGTTGCACATCCCTGCCCAATGGCCCCAAACAGGCTCTCTGTCCCTGCAGCTGATGGGTTCTGTGCTTTTATCTGACACGTCTTTGTCATGGTGAATCTCTGTAATCTTGACCCTTGTTTTCTGTCCAATCTGAACAGACATTTTTTGCTCAGCTACAGAAATATGGAGGATGGTGTTTTGCCTCCAGTTCCTTGATAGCTCTGGCGGCACCCTTAATGCTCTTCTTGAGTCTCTAAACTTCTTCTCTAACCTCTCTCCTGTGTATATTTTAGATATATTTCCACTTATTTTTGTTTCAAATTTTCAGCTTTATGTCTTTTCCCTTTTCTACGATGCTCTTTTTCACTGATCTGAAAACCCCTTCTCTGCCTCCACTATTCCCTGTTGCTTCTTCAATGCCACAAGGACTCACTCACTTATCTGTTACTGGGATGTCTCTGGAAAATCTTTCTTTCTCCAGAATTATCTTTGAAACAAACTGGCTCTGAAATATATCACGGACTTTTCCCAAGGGGCCAGGATATATCCTTGAATTTCAGTCCATTTATTTCTCTCTCTTTCAGTGACATTTTTTGTCGTAACATCTCCCAAAACACAGATACGTTTTTCTAAACTGCCTTCCCAAATTGTTTTCAGATATAAATTATCCATCTTAAAACTCACAAGTGATTATTAATTGAAGGAACTTTTGGCATGTAAAATATGATGTTTAAATGCTGAGAGGAATCTGGCAGAACATTACTGCTCTACCTTTCCAAATGTTGCAAGATATTCTTGGCTTATAGCATATTATATAACAGAGCCTTTAAACACAGATTATCTTTAGAAAGAGAGTCAGTGATTATTGTCAAACCACAGTGATGAATTAGCTGAAGCTGATGAGATGCATTTGCAAAAGGAGCTGACCAAGAGTAGTGAGAAGTAGTCAGCCTGTTTGGGGAATAACAATGTTCCTAAAGATAAGTAAACAATGCATGTGGTCCCACATTTATTGTTCTCTTGGAAAGAATTTTCTGACTTCAGAGTAAATGGAAACTCTATTTACATTATGGCTGTCTGCTTTTCATAGGGCTAACTGAGGACTTCTGCCTGTTAGTACAGCAAAACAATTGGTCCAAACTGGGGTCATGGCAAGATAAAATCAGCTTTTTAGTGGAAGTCCTGCCATACAAACAATTTCTGACTAGTGGAATGAGTGTTGCTCATGTTTTTCTAGGACTCTTACTGGCATCAGAAGACCTGTCCTGGGAGCAAAGTTAGAGGAACAGACTTTTTGTGCCTCAGTTTGCTCATGTATTTTAAATAGATGCTATCTCTGAGCACTAAGATTTTAGATTTCAAAACCATAAAGAATGTGTCTCGGATGAACATTCTCATGCTCTTGTAGGGATTTTGTGCACCTTAATCAGACTTTAAAAAATTGTTTCAGACCAGTTAATACTTTCCCCAGTTTCTTACTTTACTTATCATTACAGTCTCATGATTTCTGGAAGGAGTAAACTACAACCCACTTCTCCTGTGAATATTTAATAATTCTACATTTTGTGAACATTTAATCTGCAGATTAAATATGAGTCCAGACAAAACTCCCATTCCTGTTGGTGAGATTTTGCCCTATTTGTGACTAGCAGCTTGCCAAAGAATGTGGTGGATTCTCAGTTGCTTATAGTCTTTAAATCAGACTGAATGTCTTTCCGAGAAAGATGCCCTGAATCAACCACAATTTATTGGAAATAATTTAGGAATTGCTGGGCAGCCTCCCCTGGGCTATGCTCTGCAGATGTCAGAGAAGGCGACTGCAAAGTTTCCATATGATCTTAAAATCTACAAATACATGGCTGATCTGTGAAATACCATGGTCTTAAAGAAGTTTTTCTTTTTTTCATCTGGGATGTTTTAAGATCTTTGATGTGCTAATGATCCAAGTTGTCTGGCTAGATGATAAATCTCAGATGAAAGAAGTAGATGGTGAGTTAAACCTTCTTTCTCACCTCTGCCTGGGAGCTATGGCACATCTTAGTAACTTCCTTAATAAACAGTATGTGTTTTCAAGGAATTGGGCATGCTTTTAATTGCAGCTCTGTAGAAACTGTTTTTCTATTTCATGAAAGTGCTACTGATGTTTTCAAAATGTTCTCATCTCCACATGGCTATATCATAGCCACCTCACACCCCCTCCCAACATAAAGCTGAAGGTTTGAGGCTCTGGGATTATAATGCCATGTCCTTGTTCTGGGTCAGCAGAGCAGGAGACTTGTATTTTGTCTTCTGAGATGTTCTGAAAGAGCTGGGCTGGGGACTATGGAGTCTTCCCTGGAAAAAGTCTATCTTCTTTTTGTTTTGAATAACAGCTCAATCCTGGATCACAAAATTTTCTCTGGAGAAACTGGACAGTGCTTTCTGGCGAAAATGTCACGTCTGACAATTTAATATTTCTTGGCAGACACCTTTCTTCTCAAATATTAAAATATATTGTCAGAAAATTCATGCTAAATCTACCAGCAATGAGCACAAATAAAGCTATGCTGGGATAGAGAGATCACTGAAAGCCATGGTGCTTCAAGAATGTCAGAAGCTTTGTGAACCACTAGAGATAACAGATCATAGCAAGTCTGAAGGCCAAGATGAAAACACTACCAAATACAATACAAATTGTGTCTTTTCCTTTAAGTGTTCAGCAGATTTTTAATGAGTATATTTATATAATTTGAAATAAGGATTTTCTGTCAGTGCTAGTGTATACACAGGAGAGAAAAAAAGGAAAAAAGAACAAAACTTTTTCTTCTCAAAATCAGATTTATTAAGTGTAAACAAATTTTGTTCCCAGTCTGTCTGAAGCTGGCAGTGCTAAATTTTACCTTTGCAGAAAGTATTTAATATAATGTGTGTAAATATTATGTTAAAGTATTCATGTCCTGTTTTAAACAGTGGCAAAAAAAATTCCTTTCAGCCTTTAGGTTTTCCACTAATTTATTTCATATTAAATCAGAGCAGGTTAAAAAACTGCTGATCAGATCTTTACTGAGCTTTATTGTAATGTAGTTTAAGTGGATGCAGACGGCTGGTTTTTCTTTTTCTTTATTTCTTCTTTTTTTCCCTCTCCATGTCTGAAATATTATACAGTAGACTGAAGTTCTTGTGGCATTAACATGAGAGTCTCAAAATGGGCTGAAAAATAAATATTATAAAAGTATGTCATCCAAATCAAATACTGTGTGAATAAGGGAATCTGGAGAGGTTACAACTGCGGTTCAAGGTTTAACATGCAAGGTACCTCAAAAGTTAGCTAAATACATTTCAGATGGATGTAAAATGCACAGGAAATGTGTTAAGCATCTTCTCTTGGTGAGATCTTGAGCGTGACTCAAATAACACGCTCGGAGGTGAAGTTCCTGCATGGTAACCTATGGGGTGATGGGAATGGGCTCAGATCCCCCTCTTCCTTAATCAACAGCATCCCCTTGGTAAAAAGGCCTGACAGTGCCCCATGATCATCCTCATGCTCATCAGCAATCAAAACCCCAAGGGTGCACAGGAACAATCCATGGAGCCTTTGGGTTTCCTTACACTAGGGCAAAAACTTTGGCTACTGACTGCTCATGGTGCTTAACTGTGTAATTGTCTTAATTATGCTAAATTGCACTGTGTAGTCCCTTAACAATTATGTGGGTTGGCAACAGTATTAAATGACAAAAATGACATTCATGTAGTCACAGCATTGCCTTGCAGCATAAAAGTCAGAAAATACAGGAGTCTGCACAGGTTTCCCTTGAGGAGCCACCCTCACCACTGCCCACTCTGGCAGCTGCAGGAGACTTTAGCACAGGGGGTGATCATATTTTTGTAAAAAATCATAGCTTATGGGACAGCTCTAGCAAAACGCTGACTTTGAAATGTTCACTAAACAGTGAATGTTTGGGCACTCAATTCTCACCCCGTGGTTCACCTCAAAGGACTGATGTTGGCTATCAGAACTTGACTGAAGCAGCTTCAGCTGGTTTGGAGTATAACTGTGAAATCTTACCATGACCATCACAGAGCTGGTCCAGTCCAATATTCCAGGACAGTTTCCATGAGCAGATTATTTTCAGAGTGCAGTTCTGGTCATCCATTTGTCCACATTCCTTTGCCAGGGACACAGACCCCTGAAATGACTCTCAACCGTGAAAACTGAGGAAGAACTTGTTCAGTAATTCTGGGGACTAAAATCTCAATATTTTTAGCAAGTGTCTAGATTGTGACTCTGCTAAGACCTTCCTATTCACTGGTGCTGCAGTCCAGTTTCCTGCCTCTCCTGCCCAAGGCAACAGAGCTGTCTGTGGCAGCCTCCCACATGGGCTCTTGCTCTCAGGAAAGGTGCAATTCCTCCCCATTATCCCAAAACATCAACCTGACACAATACCTCCAATGTGGTAAAGACATTCCTTTCCCCTTGCACTTTTTGCAATATTATCTATTTTCACAGAAATACAACAATCACATTTAAGAATGCAAAAAAAGTAAATTTATTGTTTCTACAGACATAATAATAATAAATCACATTTGGGCAGCAAGCTGTGAACTACAAATGTGGGTTCTCTGTCATACATAACTTTCCATAGGACTTATCAGAGACCTGCATTGTAAAACCTTCAGGGAGCTTACAGGGAGTTACAGAACCAAGTGCTATCTTTTGTTTGACATAAATAACTGTTTGAAGTAAAAAAAAAAAAAAAAAAAAAAAAAAAAAGAAAAAAGAAAAAAATCTGCTCATGGAGTTTTTAACCATTTGACAAGCTTCAGTGTGAAATAATATCAGGAAGGAATAGAAAGGAGCTTGTTCTGTTGGAGTTTTCATGTTCGTGTTCTTTCAGGGGTTATGCAGGATCCTCTGCAGCTAGAAAGCTTATTGAGTGTCTATTTTTAAAAAGATGCTTTTAAGTTATGTGTATGAAATAGCACGGCCACATTAATGAATCCCATCTTAAATATTAGTGAAGCATTTATGCTTGTTATCCTAAAGTGCTGCTAAAATCCAGAGCAAGGTCCTTCATGATTGACTACATCTGCCACTGAACCCATTTGTAGAAGCCAGGAGTAATTTATATTATCTCAAAGTAATAACAACTGGTGGAGAAATATTTTTTCACATAACCATCTGTGGAAAAGCCAGTGCATTCCTCTTTTTGTACTCTGGGCTAACCTATAAATTAATTCCTTAGGTATTTATAAGGATAGCTCAGTGTGTGTGGGATTTGCTAATAAACCCTCCTGAGTTCTAGTTTGGGTTTCCTCTGGTGAGATGATCAGGCATATCCCAACTAAGCTATCTGGACAGACCCTGCTCAGTCTGAAGAATCTGACACTCCTGTAAGGTTTAAGCGTTCCTAGAAAATTTTGGATTCCCTTACAAATTGTATTTACATTTTTTTAATAGTATGAGTGTAGCCAAGATGGACTCTATCTGGAAGAGGTCTCCCATTTATCAACTGAATACTTACTCTTTGAGCAGTGAAGAGGGCAAACCCTAGAAAAGCAAAGAAAATCTGTTTGAAAGGAGGAAAGAGTGGTATTTTCTTAAGCTGGCATGCTTTCTTGCATTTGAAGTCATATCTTATAAAATATATGGCCAAAGTTCAACATGATGTGGTTTGAGCTTGGCTCCCTTTGGTAAATAAGAGTATGTATTCAGTGGATAAACCTTACTTTAATTTCAAATTCAGACCCAAATTTCCTCCAGACTCTGGGGAATTGTCCTCCCAGGGTTATGACCAATAAAAGGAAAAAGGGGAGAGCTGTATGCAAAGCTCCAGGATCTGAGATTCTGGCTTAAGGACATCTCTATCATGGACAAATCATTCCATATACAATCTCCAGAACCAACTAACAAATAATCTACAAAGACTTACAAAAATACATATTGCAAAAAGGAATGCTCTGGTTTTCTCTAGGAGTTAGCATTCTAAAAATAACCCCAATCTGTCCTCCTGGGCTCACACTCAGTAGTGCTTCAAAATGCACTCAAATAAAACTTTGCAGCTAAAGAAATGTTTTCTCAGCCAGAATTATCTATAAGAAACTTGAGGAATTTTCTGGTGAATAAAATATTGCACTGCAAATATTTGCTCTGCTTTAACCTGGCACTGTTCCTGCTCTGACTCTATTCACAACCGGGGGGAAAAGACACATTATGATTTTGAGCTGCGTCTCAGTATTCCCGATCTAGTTTCTTCTCAGAATATGTTACAGCAGCAATTATCTATAAAATTGCATGTGATACTTTGATAGAAGTATAACAGTGTGTCAGCTCTATTTCCTTGCAAAATAGCTTTGATGTGAACATAGTAAGTGCAGCTCATTTAAAGTCAGAAGCCTTTCTCTGGTCCCTGCATTATTCAGCTTCCATATTTAATGTGTCCACCCTGACAATTACTGCTGTCCAAAATGAAATTATAGTTAAAAAATGAAGTTGTGTGTTGAAAAAATGGTTTACATCAAATAACACATTCCTGCAGTACATTGTAGGTATGGCTGGGGAGGGAGCATGGTTGGGGAGCCTTGCCAGGATTCCAGGCAAAGCATCTCCATGCCTCATCTCACCTGCAGTTTTACCTGTTTGTAAATTCCTAAAAGAGATTCCTTATTTTGGGTGTCTCCTGCAGGCTGTGATTCCCTCTGGGCTCCTGGCAGCTTCAGAAAGATCAATTATGGTCAGCCTCAGCACCTGGGGCAGTGGGTAGTGAGGTACACTTTGTTTTTTCCCCCTGGAAGGAACAACCTTCAGCCTAAGAGAGCAGAGGTTTACAGTCTGTACTCTCTTGCCCTACCACTCTCAAAACATGATTTCAAAGGGCTCAAAGTTTCATTTATTTGTTTACAAGAGATGTTCCCTTAAGAGAATGGGCTGGGTTCATATCTCACACCCATGAAAATGTGGAATAATGGCTTTTGTCTTGGAAATCAGTTTATGCTGCTGCAATAAACCAGGAGTTGGCTACTGGGGTCTTTCCTATCATCATTTTAATTCCAGTACATACTCATATGTGCTCTGTAGTAAAATTAGATTAAAAAACATCTGGCAAACAAACCATTACCAAATAAATGTTGCCCATTGGCCCTGAATTCACACTCAGGATATTGAAAACAAATGTTCTGGTGCTATTGAGATCTTGACATGTTTGTGTTTAGCTTGTTGGGTCAGCTGAAATTGCTCGTGTTCACAGTGATCCCTGATGAGAGATACTTTGAGTCACAGATTATTTAGACTATTCTCAGTATGGGGTACAACTCAAAGCTCCTTAGCAGCATGACTTTCATAACAATGATATAACCCAACAGCAGGTCCTCTGACCTGACAACATGCCCCCCACTTCCAGGGAATCTGTGTAGCTAAACAAAATATTTGTGAACTAGTGGGAAAACAGGAGTCACCTGTCATGAATCTGTCTTTATTTAAGGACAGACAGCACTCTGTGGCCTGTTTTGGTTTCCTGGCCTATTGTATTGGGGTTTTCACAGAGTTGCTCAGAATCACAGAACATCCTGAGTTGAAAGGGATCACCCAGTCCAGCTCCTGGCCCTGCACAGCACCATCCCCAAAATGGTGAGTTTATCTGTCTATGGCATGGACATTTTTTCCAGAAGGACACTATGAGAGACAGTATTAAAAGCTTTACTGAAATCCAAAATTTTACATTGACTGGCTTCCCTTGTTTAACCAGATGTGATAACTTGTCATGAAAGGCACTCAGGTCTGACAAGCAGAACTTCCCTCTCATGAAGCTGTGCTGGCTGTGACCGATGACTGCACTGTCCTTCAGGTATTTTTCAGTACCTCCCAGAATAATCTTCTCTATAACTTTACCAGGCATTGAAGTGACACAAGCAGGCATGTAGATACTGGGGTTCCCTTCTTGCCTTTCTTTCACCAGCTTCCATTCAGTCAGAAGTCTTATTCTTCATATGCATCTTTGTCTCCAGACAATCCATCTTTTACTTCATCTCTCTCCTTTATATGGTGCTTTGGAATTCCAAACACTGCCTAAAATTGTCTGTACCCATTAGTGTCTGTCTCTGTATTGTATTTTTACCAGACACCTCTCACCTTTACAATTCTGGGTGTTCTTTGGTTTGGAATTTTTGTCTTTATTAGAATAATTTCTCTATTCAGGGAAGACTAAGTCAGTCTCGGTAGACTTGTAGGGGCCTTAACCCAAAAAAGAAAAACATGCAGCCTCAACCACTCATAATCAGTTTACTGGATCCATTATTCTACCACTACATGCAAATTTGGTCAAAATGAAACACTTCAGAAAATGTATTGATTTTGTCAGCACTTTAGTTTAAGAAAATAAAAAGGGGAAAGAATTTCCATCCTGTTGAAATGTGCTGTTTTTAAAATACTGCTATTTTGGGCTTGGTTTTGTTTCTGAGAAACTTTTCTTTGGCATTTTAGCATTGTGTTGTTGGGTGTTTTTTTAACAAAATCAAAGTAAAAATCAGAAAAGAAATGGTTTTGTTGAATTCTGAAACCTGCAGGTTTAATTTTGAAAGAAAATAACACATATCTAGTACAGCAGCAATCAGAACTTGTTTCAGCAGAGGTCTACTCTAAGCCAAAAAGCTTAAATAACATCCTGACCATCTCCCATCATCCAGCTCTGTCTGGGGAAAGTGGGATTGCAGGGGATTCAAATAACAAATTAACATGGAATCATTACGAGTAATTTAACTTTTGAAATGAGATCTTTCTGCATGAACAATAGATCTATCTTGAGCCCCCTTCTTTCCCACAACTGTCAAACATGCTTGTTTTTAGGAGGCTTGGGATAAAACTCAGTTTGACTTCTCGATAACATCTTCTTTGTATCAAAGCAAGTGAATGTATTCTGAAAAATTGCTATGTGCGTGCAAAATCCAAACTGATTTTTATGTCATATTTTTGCTTTCTCTATTAATTTCTCTTTTCTTCCCCTTTTATATCAAGATTTGTAGATTTTCAGTGTAAAAGATTTTATCTAAAAAACTCCTATCAAAGAAAACATGGGTTTTTTAAAATTAAAATCTGCTGATGTTGACAACATTTGATGACTTCTGACTGATCATTCCTAATTGATCAGTTGTAATTAAAGCATTTGATCATTTTTTCAGACTCCACTGGGGAAAGTAGGC